TATCAAGCTGCGATTCGAGTTATTCAAGTGGAGGAGCACAAACAATATGGGACGGAAGAGAATTTCATGTTCATTTCGTATTCAGTCGAGAACCAAACTTCATACCACGTAATTGTAGAGTTTTCGCAGTAGAAATTTGGTGGTTTACTCGATCAAATGCTTTGGAGAATTCCAAATAAATTATGTCCAATGGCTCGCCTGTATCGACGGATTTTGTCTACTCATCTCGTGTAAGAAGTTGATTTGTGGTGCACGAACGTTTGTGCCTAAATCCGTCCTGAGCTGGAGGCAAAATGTCATGCTTCTTCAGATACTCTGTCAACAGGTCTGCCACAGTAACCATGACTTTCACCAGTGTCGGAAGAAGTGTAACGAGGGGGGGGGAGGTAGTTGGCATGATCACTGCCAGAGTAGTCATAAAATCAGGGTGAAATCACCATTTCCTTATGTGACTGCGGAAATACTGTCTTATAAAACATCCTTTGGTAAAGAACAACCAGAGGTTCGGATAAGTCATTGGCTAGTGAGATGGAAGTCATCCTCTGACAGGATGCATATTGTTTGCGCCTGGGGATGAATTCTTACGCAAACTTAGCAGTTTTACTCTCACCATTTCACCGTCCAAAACCATATTAACCAGTGACGGATGCGGTTTACAGGAACTCTATAATGCTTTGTGTGTCGGTGCAGTAAATACCTGATCGAACTGGNCTGGGTTTTGAATAACTTTGTTGCTTCTAGTGCGGTATTTGAAATATGTTCAGGCGAACTCAATGCTGGTATTCCGCATTTCACCTTCGTTTTAGAGTTGATATGTTTATGAAGCAGTTTTGGATGGGTTTCTTGATGCATCAGCTTTTCCCCTCGCGCAAACTTGGTGCACTGATTTCGCAGTAAGGTACAATCGTTCCAAGTTTGGATAGATGAACATCTATGCTCCCGCCGAGTGAAGTCCTTTGCTCTATTTCTTCGTTCGGCTGCGAATGGGCGATTACCGTGTTTTAGATCTAGCAAAAG